TCGGCTTACTTAACTGTTTGACGAGAAACTCGACTAGCTCTAGCTAGGACTCGCGAAGCTAGGTACGCGATAATCGCCGCGTCGTGTGTCGCGGAGTTCTGCTTTTCTGCTTATGAATATGAGCCCATGGCGTGGCTTGAAACTTGTAGAGTTCCTTGTCAAATAGTCACGTGCGTAAACCGAAAACCATAATAATGCATTTAGTATGTCTCACGAAAGTTATAATACAAATTGAATAAAATTGACTGATTATATTTCATTTTAACTATCGAAAACTCAACTTGTCCGTATACTTTAATGTACCTATGTATTGTGTTGTTGTGTGTCAATTGTCTGGTAATTACTACTTGAGTACGTGAATCGTAAAGGTAATTGTATTGCTCAGTTCAGTATTCTGTTTGTAAATATTCGTCTTTCTGCAAGATCAATTCTTCGTGTTGCGGTTATTCTACAAATAGGTAACCGTTTGTGTTTGATGCACTGTTGCTATCAACAGTCTGTGCTTTGAAAAAATGTTACGTTCTTAAACTTTAAGCAAAATAATACACGATTAAATAAATCATGGGTTGCAAGAATGAGACAGAAGGAAAGGGAACTCTCTTTTAAACATGCATGTGGATCTACTGAGATTGATATACTAACAGATTTCAATGAATATGAATATAGGTAAATAATTACAATAAAACTACATAACTATAAACCAAACTACTCAACTATATCGGTGGCAGTAAACAAATGCTATCGATTTAAATTACAAATCATTATAAAATTAAATCAACAATGTCATTAGCCTAAATACAAATAAGATATTTTTTAAACACAGTGATAAATAAACAAAAGTTAGTTGTAATTGTTACGACACCCACATTTGACAGAATGGTCTTGGTTGTAGTCTAACCTACCATGATTAGATATTCTATTTGTAACATGGCACCCACTCGTAAAATATGATATTCCAAGGATTATAATATTCATTACTATCAATTTAACGACAATCACGACACGTTTTTATATTTACGTAATATGAAAGGACCATCTAATATTTATTACGGTAGATTTTAAAGTTGAACAGGAAGCATGCGTGGTAGCCGAAAGCATTAGTGACCTGTATCATGATCAGAGAAAGGATTGAATCGCGGTATAGTTCCAATATTTCGGTGTGGCAGGGCGCAGGGTCGTCGACCGCACTCTTCGGTGTTGGTGCCATGCTATTTCGAGGCGGCGAGCGATGGCGAGCGCACCCGACTTGAGCCGACCGCCGATGTTCTGTGCACGCGTAAACAAACATGGCCGAACTGTCATTCACTAATTCATTCATAAGCGATCATTGTGTTTGACAAACTGACTCGCACTCATTATCTGTGTCTCAATAAACAATGTACATAGTTTATTGTATTATTTTTTCAAGTCGATTATTATTACAACATCTAAACCTTTGACGTGGTATCGAGCGTATAAAGTAAGTATGTACGGTTGCGAGCATCGCAATTCAAAATAATTATGACTCTGTTCGAGTGTCAGTGATGAGCTCAAAGTGTAAACTGCAAAGTACATATTCATTACCTAATATTTGTTCTTAGGACACGATTATTTTAGGTAAATAAATAAAAGTAATTAACAAGGAATAGAAACAGAACTGTATGGATTATCCAGATTATTATAAGACTTTATCAACTGAATTTCAGTTAGAATGTTTTAGGGGTTTTAAATAGTCGACTCGTTTTACTACACTGGAAAATGTATTTGTGACTTAATGCATAACACGTATGATTCCAACAAACTGTTTTGCAAAACGGAGAAATATATATTCTCATAAGAGCAACTATTGTTGCTGAATTTGTGGCGTTAGATTCAATTCCAAAACAGTAAGGTTTTGAAAATTGCGAAAATTTTATAAATTAATATCTCAAACTATAGAGTCAGTATATAGTATTACATTAACGCATAACTGACGAAATGTGTGATTGCCTTGAGCTAGATAAGTATGACGTCTCGGGTTCCCGGATCGGGCAAAGAATTATTAGGATTTTGGATCATATTGTGCTAGCAATTGTGTTTGATCTCCTAGTTACTTATTTCTGAAGTACCAAGTTATATAATCTTCTATATCTATAGACTTTTATTTTCACTTTGTAGGTAGCGGTAGCATCTACTAAAAATTGGTTTTAAGATTTTTTCAAATGGATGAAATACGTTTCACAGTGGTTAAGAAATAGAGTTTTAATATCAACCAGCAGTTGATAGACAGAGTAGGTACTACTCAAGATAAGTAGGTCTGTAGAAAATTGGCATTATTTCGTAATGTAAAAATTATTCGATTTATAGCTGTAAGAAGCATATCGAATTATTACAGTCTTACTAACGAGTGTAGTGTCTCGCGCGATGAAGGCAACCATTGTTCGTGACATGTGGACCACATAGCACATCTGTAGCGCATATTCTGACGCGCCTTTTGTTCCAACCCTGACCATGTGGCCCGCGGACGGAACGCGCTAGTTTTTGTCGCATTTTTTTCGGTACACGAAAAAGTTCTTAAGAGAATACCAGATTATGCCATGTGGCTATTATTGAAATATACCGTCACTGGTACCGGTCAAGACCGGAGTCTATTGATAGTAAAATTACACTTACTAAATTTAACATTCAGTAAAATGCCGTGTTAACGGTGTCGCTGCTAACTCGAAGTGTTAATAATACTTTTGTAAGTGTAATTAGCTGGATACACAAGGAATATTTGTTCCAATATAAAGTTCGCAGTGTCCGCCTAATAATCTAAGTATATGACAATTCCTCATCGCCATTATGTTAGTCAAATATTACGAGTGCACAACGCGTCGTCAGCGGTACCACGTGGTAGTTGAAAAGTTGCCAACGCTCGCTTAGCCGACACCGCTTCCTGTTTACCGCGCCGTCTGTTCTATACTACGCCTCTCGGGAGGCTAGCGGAATTACCAAAAGCTATTTTACGTCATAACTGGTAAGCATGAACGTGTAATAAGTATTACGAAGAAACGGGAGCATTATAATCATAAACAGAATGGTTACGATTGAGTTGTGAACTTGTTTTTGTGCACTTGAAATTCAAACAACCTACCTAATTAAAATTCGAGAATAATGTAACCATTTATGTATTGTTTATTATAATATTAATTTATGATTAAGCAAAACTAAGCAGCGATAACGTACCACATGCATACTATGCCTAAGTCAGAATAGAAAACTACATTTAGATGTCGTCTTTAATTCATGATAAAGTTTGGAAAGATATAATAATAAAAATTGACTTTTATAAAAAGCAAGGTAAAAGAAACCTAGCTCGCAGCGGGAAAGAACACGAAGCATATTATGTCGTGACTTGCCCCGAGAAGAAACTGACTCAAATTGAAGCCCTTTTTCACTGACTGCAGCCAGTGAGCTTTAAGTATCAACGTGCTATGAATGCCGAATATTCAATAGAACCAACAACGGTATGAATTCTAAGAATTATTAAAACAGACCTAAAATATGTGGTGAAGGAAAAGATTCTAACATTCTGTATCTCGATCGATTGATTTCATATCACCAAAAATGTATCAATAATTGACTTAATGTCACAAATACCCTTTAAATGTCCTCACTAACTTATTTGACATTGTCCAACTTGGCGCGTATCAAATACATATATCAAAAACTTATAAAGCAGATTCGAGAGTTCCGCGTAAGGAATGGCCTTGATAGATTTGACTAAATATTTTTTCTCGTTCTCGTGTAACGTATACAGATAACATATTGTGTAACCTTATCAAAGCGACCAATAACGACCGGCTTTATACTTGAGAATTTGGCAAAATTCTTATTATAGGTATAAATAGCGTAGTTTGTTACAGCTTTGCGAGTAGATAAATATAAATATTGGCATATTATTCAACTTTAATATTGAATTTTGATTAAAATTGACTTTATCATTACGAATTCAGAAAGCTTCATTCATGTCATGTGTTACAAAAACAACCGAATAAAGATAACAATCTGGATCTCACAAAGACGTTTCATAAATTTTCAAATGGAGCTGAATAGTGTCATGTTGAGCGCTACATGTGTGCTCTCGTCTCTACCACACACCACACTCGAACGCGGGATAGGCTTAACGGAGGACGCAATTATGATGATTAAATGAAACTGGTTCTTCGGCGACCACTCCGTTGCCGGGATGTCGATGTGTAGAGACATTCTACACTTACCTCTACTGAATATCGAATGCCTCGCGACGCGTTCCTTACGCTGAAGTCATAAGATATAAAATAGTTCGAGAACATTATTTATAGCAGCAGATAAGTAATATCAAAGAGAAACACTACCACACCCAGGTGAAGCTTATAAGCGACTGTTAAAATGTAAAATAGGCGATTATCTATTACCGATTACTCTTAACTGTCTATGACGAACTGATGAAATTAATACAACAGCTGACTTGATGTTATAAGGAAAATGCGTCAAAAATATCGGAACTCAAAGAAGATCGTTGTCTAAATTAATTTTAGTTTCGTACTTATCGTGATATATAGATAACCCAACTTTCAAAACTAACCATTTTACAGCATAAATTATATAGCTCTAGAAAAATTTATATCAAAATGTTTGACAAACATCACAGCAGCAGTTCATGCGTCAAAAGTGTCTTAATTGAGCAAAGAATTGAACATACTGTTTCATCATCCATGCTTTAAGGCTTTTTTGCCCATTCAGAACAACCCGATTTTATTTTATTTTTTAAGGGGTAAAATCATCGAATGTCTACTCCCACCTGGGTGAGGCGGGAGGGAGTGTCAGACTCTTACTGACTAAAAACCATCCCGTTCCTTCTCCTGCGTTTCGAGCCAGAGCCCCGGTACCCGTTAGGTTCTCCGGGACGAAACAACCCTATAGCTTTATAATTTTGATTGTAAATATTTAATTAATGTTTTAGCATAAGTAATAAGACGTCAAGATATTATTTTATCGCCAATAAACAAAAACTTATCCTCTCTTAGGTTACTGTTAAAAAAATGTGATACAGAAATCGAAGAACTGAACATTGAATAAAGTGATATTTCAATTCATCACAACGTATGTTAAGGTGGTATGCCTAAGCTCATTGTTCAATATTTAAAGTTGAGAATAGTTACTATGGATTAAGTAAACTTTAACAGGGAAAACAGAAGAAGCGGCCGCTTCAAAGGGATATAAATACTCGGCGGCGCCGGTCCGCGACAACGTACGGAACTCTTCATCTTGACAGCCAATCTTTCAGTAAGATAGACGGTATAATAGTTGCAGCCAAGATTTCTTATAACTTGAGGCATTAGAAGTCCCAGTTTGTTATGCTTCAATAGCAATGTTAAAAGTATTTTGGATGCAAAAGTTGAAAATGGGTGAGCTGTATATGTATAAGAAAATTTCAAGTAACTACCACAATGTACCAAGCAGCATTGCAACAATGTTTTAATTCATTCCAAAAAGTAAACTTATTACAATATTATCATTATATCCTTGAAGTTTTTTCTTGTCAATAATCCAAACAATCTATACGTTGTTCGATACCATGACCTTCAGGTAAGCTAGATAGGGAACTGCGCAAGATCAACTTTAGCTAAGCTTTGGCTCCAGTAAAATCTTTTATAACTGATATGTTATTGGTAAATTAAGGCTTCAAATTTACCGTCATCGTATTAATTATTAGCATTTTTAATATCACTAAGTCGCTCTTCCGAAGGAAGTCCTTAATGTAAGCAATTATCGTCAACTCTCTTAAGTCTTGAGAGTATTAATTGGTTATTTCCAGAGTAACAAACTTGTACTTTCTAAAGCAATTTCCAGTTTGAAATGGACCTTATCTATTTTTTTGTACTGAGTGGCGACTTTGTCAAACCTATGTCCAACGGACTCAGTTCGGATAAGAATTATTTATCTGTAGAATAATATTCTCGATGGACCGGGTGGGCGATGAGAACGTGGATATTTCGGGCCATTATCACGCGCCCACGCTTCGCTATTGGCAGAAAAATGTTACAAAAATACATCGTCGCAATTTACAGTCAGTTTTATACGGGGTCAGCCACTGACATTGATACCATCTATGACCGTCTTAGCACAAAGTTAAATGATCTCTTATTCCTGGTGATATTATGTAGTGACCCTTTTAATTAGGGTTTGTTGTAAGTTTTTTCGTCTTGATTCTTAAATGAAACCAAATGTCGTAGATCTTGTTTTAACATTGAGTCTTATCTGTATCCCTTATCATTATTACTGAGAACCGAGAGACAGACGTAATGGAAGATATGTGTTCCAGAGCAGTGCGTTCTCTAGCCCGTTTCCGGTGGTTGTTTACAAAAAATATAATATAAACTCTTGTCCAAAGCGGCTATACGAACCGGCCGGTCGAGATACTTGCTACGATTAAAAATCGTTACAACTTCCGTTCGGGTCCGAGACGCGGAGCAGAGCTCCAGATAAAAAAGATAAATAAGAAAAATAACTTAAAGATCGATACGGTGGAACGGCGCTACCTGTTTTTTCACTGTGCTTAGCTTGCGGCCATCATTCTTCTCTTGAATGTACAGTCCACAGTCGTCAACTAGCCACCTATACAAAGGTTATGCTATGGCGAATAAACAATCTTGTAAGAATGGCTCTAAGATGGATAAACTTATGGCCGCGTGAAGTAAAGTTAAAAATAAACCGTCAGTGGTCTTCAGAAAAGACAATAGGTCGGTATAATACCTACTACATAACAAAATCACTGTAAGAAATAACGTTAGACATCGCTTTATGACTAATTATATAGGTACACTTGCTTACATTTAGTAACATATAGTCGTGAATTAAAATAGACATTACCCGACTATACCCGATTATAAAATAGACATTCAATGATCGTAATCTAAGTAGACATATTATTTTGGGAGATTTTTTAGATAATTATGTAAAAATATACCCTCTAAGATGCAAATATCATAGATATTTGATTCAATATTAAGTTAAGATTCGTTGAGGAACTCTAATAAAACGATCGATTCCTTAGAAGATTTATAATACTAAATGATAGCGCCGTCTGAGTGAATTAGCATCACATGATGTCATGTATCCGGCTGCATCCATAAGAGGGGCTATAAATCGAACGGGTTAGATGTTTTACTTTAGTGCAACCGGTAATGGAAGATATCAGATTAATAAAAGATGTCGATGAGACCGGGCAAGATGCACAGCAATTTCACGAGTGCTGCGCCATGATAATTAAGTGTTCGAACGGTGTGTCGTGGTGTGCGTGGGCTCGGCGCTGAGTCGATACGGCGCGGAGCAGGCATATCAAGTCTGGTAACTATGCGGCGTAACTCCGGTAGCGGCGCAACAGGTCTGTGGAGGGACGCGGGCGCGGGCGCGGGGCGGTAGGAAATCCTTCGCGCATGCACGCACACATTCACATTTACGTGTGTGTGTACCATCCGGTTTTGTTTGCGTGTGAGCAATGTGTACAGACGACGCTCGCCTGTGTTGAAGCTGTATCGAGTCGATCGATCAATGAGCTCGACATCGACTCCGACTCTTGCCTGCATGCAACTCATTGATTAACGCTATGAACGTGGAATTGTTTATTCATTCATGATAAATATTTTATATCAAATGGACGTTTTTCTTATCCGTATTCTAAGTCCTTGATTTTTTCCTTCTATCAAAAAGCTGCTTCTGCCTTACTCTGAGCTGTATTTCGAGCGCCCGGTATATTCAACTTTAGACACTATTCCGTCGACTTAAAAGCTTGAATAGCCTGTATAATGACTGTAAAATAGCAAGACTGCTTCAGAATATTACCTATATGCAAAGTTTTAAATACGTATTAGATTTATATAGGTATATGAATGTATTAATTATTGAAATTGTTATATATTGTCCGTAGATAATCTAGGAATTATCGGCTTAGGTAAATCTTCCCAGTAAAACAATAGTATATCTACTTCAGCCACTGAATCAACTTTAATTCATTTGTTTCAGATGCTGAATCAATATTCCACGTAATATGTAGGTGAGTAAATAAAATACGGGTAGTAGGTATTTAGATTAGGTATATAGATTATATTTTCTAGTTATCATATTCTTCGATCGAATCAACATAGGTTTCATTCCTTTTGAAGAAACTACTATCACAGGAAAAATGGACAAGTCAAAAAAGAATGGTATCAGCAACACAACTATACTCTACCTGTTTTTTTATTAATGTAATATGAAGATTATGTCTTATAAATCAACAAAGACATAAACAGACGTGACAAAAAGACTATTAAAAGGTAAATTATCGATTTGGCGAAAATTTGCAGAAATATCGTCCACTATCGGAATACTCGCAGACCGGTTCTGCTACAGTCAGAAACGGTTGTTGCGAAAGGATGAAAGAGGGCAGAGTCTGGTGGCAACCATTATTGTCATACTCAATAAATATCATCGCATTATTGTTAAGGACCAAATTCACTAACAAGGAAAACCGACCTCTTGTTTGGCAATAAAACGGTCCATGTGAAAATGATTCCATTTAAAATATGCGCATCACTTTACATATTATTTTAATTGGTCATAAAAGTACATAAAACCTAGCAAAAAAATCATACATTAAAACTATATTGTGACCTGAAATACAACTGCTAAAAAACGTTTCTTAACTTTTCAGTTACAAAAGACTCCTAGACATATTATAAAGAATGTAGACATAGAAATATTTAGCGTCTATAGATCAGATGCTATGATAAACCTGATTATTAGTTTCGGTTTTATAAACTATCAACGACACAGTTGTCTTTGAATGTGGATCTTAACAGCACAGGTGTGGGACGCAGAGTAGTGGTGGGCTCGGAATTTGCGGCGACGCTGCTCGACGCTCAGGCGCGGGAGGCGCGTGGGCAGAGGTTGGCCCGTTCGCCCACGACGCCGCACCTAGCCGCAACGCCGCCAAGGTGTAAATCACGACACCTCCGTCCTGCAGTGCTTGTTACCACTGCTTATCACCAGTCGCAAGCAGGAGTCATTATTAAGTCCGTCGAAAGCGACGAACAAAATGGGCTCTTTCCATGTACTTCAAACCGTTTCAATATTAGAAAAAAAATCTGAAAGAAGTATATCTACTTCGCGTCAGACATAATGGTTACTGGCTGAAAGTCATTCAATATAAAAAATTAATCTTAACACACGGTCTGCTAGTATAACTTTTTATTAAACTTTAGTTCATGACGAATAAGAAATGCCATTAGACTAGAATCGACCTAATCGAAGTAAAAGAAGAAACCGCTGTAATTTTCCCCTAAATCAAGTTCTAACATGGGTAACCTGTAACTTAAGCGCCCATATTCAAATTAGACTGGCCTTAAACTCAAATATGATGGCTTCACATATTATATGGATAGATACACATTCATGAGAATTGGCAATAATTCATAAAGACCTTAAAATTCCACGTAACACCTAGAATCTGAGAAATGTGCTTATTGGTTATTAGATTCACATAAAATAAAATAATATCTAACTTGAAACATCACAAAAAATGCAGACTAGGCACCTCCACGATCAAGTACTACCACACTGAGCAAACAAGGCAACAGTTTCCTTTTGATTTTAAAGTAACCAATGAGCAATCTTAAGCCATTACACGTTACATACTAGTATTTTAATTTTTCAACTTGGACAGATAGGACTGTAGAAATAATGGTACATGTATCCGCCGATGCAAGTAATGTAGTATAACTATCAGGGTTGGAAATGATTTTGTGATCTATTTCGTGAGTCATAAAGCGTACTATTAAATAACGCAGTGACGATAGTTAGGCCATTTTCAAGGTGGAAAGTGATGTCATTGGCCCTACTGCGTGCTGTGGACGCTCCACTCGCTCTCTGTCACAGCTACTTTTGCTTTTCGAGTGAACATTGTCCATTCTGGCCGCGCACGTCATTACTTTGGTATTTTCTAATCATGAGTTTTAGAATGTAGAAAACTGATAAATTGACGAGGACGATGACAAAAAATATTACTCTTTGTTTAACTATATGCGTAAACTAGGGGTAATTAAGTTTCTGTCTACAGCGGATTGATTTTATTTATGATATAGATTAGAAAAACATAACTTTATAAATACAATTAAAATGTGATAAAACCCGCATTTTACTAGTCTAATAGGTACTCACTAGCAAACAAACCCACTCGGGTTTAGTACTACTTTAGTCAAAGTAATATTTGTAGCTTTTTCAATTTACTGCAGATACTACTATGATGTAAAAAGGAAATGTAATTTATAACGTCGTAAACGTGTCTCCAATTTAGTATATGACTGTTAGTTCGGCATGCGGGTCGAGTGAAGTGGTGTAGCTTCCTGCGCTCGTTGGCCGGGAGCTGTAATAGTCGTTGCGATGGCAAGCAGCGGAGTGGCACAGAGGGCCGCCGGCCCGGCGGACGACGACGCGGACGGACGGCCTCACGGAAGGTCGACCGCCTCGTCCGCTACGACTCCCCCTCCCCACACCTCACTTGCACGCCCTCACCCGACCGCTACGTGGAATTTATATAATTGCCTTCAATTAAAACAAGAATACACCGAATACCATCTTTGATACACAAACATAAATGTAGCCATTTTTAATTACTCATGCACCGTTTAATAAAACTCTGTACGAATTGCGAGAATAGTGTTTCACCATCTTAATTACACGGCGACGAATATCCACTACTCTGTATTACGATTTCTTTGCTTTAGGTATAAGTATGTATAACGCATTAACCGGCGCGATACACATACGTGTCTATACATCACAATTTAAGCATTCTATCTGTGAGCTGTGTAGATACGCTATGACTGTGTTTACGCTCAAGTAATAATATTGTGTGTTCACCAGTTTGATAGGTATACGATGTAAATGATGTTTGCCGTGTGTATTAAATAACCGCATGGGATAGGAACGGCTAAGGTCACCGACGATGAATGTGTGCCATGAATGAACTGAGTCGTGCGCGATACTCGACCATTCAATGAGATCCTTCATTCTAGCGTTTGTCATTACGTAATGGTCTGATCATATTGGTCAATTAATTAAAAATATTTCTGTTAAAACATGTGCCCAGACGCGAGTTTATCTCTCGTTGTTATGTAAGCGCAGTAGATGTACATACCTATCTGTGTACTGTCGACATATGGAAGAAAATCATTATTATAATTAAGTATAAAGAATTATGTATGTGAACGGGAAGCAATTTGTGCGCATACACATTAAAGTACGATACGATCACACATTAAGAGACCAAATATCAACATGAAACCAAATTTGAACAAAAATTATGAATTAAGTTTAACGCTAATTTGTGTCATAAATAAGAACCCATAAGCTGGATAAGTATAGGACCGATTTTTTAATTTTTAACTGTAGAATAAAATTGAAAGTTCACAGTTTTTAGTATGAAAGAATTGGCAAATATTCAACCTTATTCCTCTGATAAAATTTAACTGGCGTTAGAAAAATCTACCGGTAAAGATGTAAAATATTATTGAACAAAAGTATTAAATGCTGATTTTTATTTAAGCATCCAATATGCCTAAAAGCAGAGCTACATTGTACGCTAACCTTATTAAAACAAGGAGTTATTTGACTATTTGTGTAATGTTTCAGAACAATTTTATCGAATTTTAAGAAAATATGTTTAAAAGCGCGACGACCCGAGCCGAACGGACGCAAAATATGCGCGGATCGCACCGACATTAGTCGCAACGCTCTCATTCACGTTTCTTTTATCTGTGACAAACATCCGGTATTATTTTCAACGCGTCCACGGCGTTAGTACTCCAACGTTATCAAACGATTCTACCATACAATACGACAATATTCATATTTATACAAATAACACTCTTAAATACATCAGTTATCAGCATTTTAACTTGCGAAAGATAAATTTAATGTTCATAACAATACTATTATATCGTCATTATGTAACTAGACATACTATTTCGTAATATGTTGGAATGCACTGAGAAATATTCCGAAATAATTGAAATGTCTTAAGTTATCTCCAACCTTATCATTGCAATTACTTAGTTTTAGAATAACCTTAAATTAAGTTGTGTGATTGACCAGGAAGTTTGTAAATGATAATAATATTTGTGAAACACTCGACAATGAAGATTAAAAGTGACATCACAAAATGTTGGTAATAAACTATCGAACAACTAGGTTACCTGGACCTATCTCTTATTTTTATTATTAAGTACTATGTCTTATTTTTAGAATTATGAGAAAATACTATTCACCGGTTTAATAAAATTTAATAATTACTAAAACATAAATAAGTTCTATCGTTATAAAACAGATGGGACCAATTTAGCTGCATAGGTGCAAGCAATGGCGGATGGAAAGTGCGGGCGGAGGCGAAGGCGGCTTCCGCTTCGACTCGACTCACACCGCCTTCAGAATAACAAACGAAACCTGATTTCTATCGACTGGGCCAACGATTATACCGCCTACTCTACCATGAGAACACTTTTATCCATAATGATTCAAGTAACGACTGTTATTAGCACGAAATTTTGGAAAGAAACTGTACTAGTATCTCATAAAATCTTTGACAGTACTAGAGGGTATCAGTGTATATGTCTTGTCGAGATATGGAGTTCATGTACTGAACAACCTATAGAAATATAACAAAGGGTAACAGGAGCCATGTACGGCGAAAACTGATTTCTTATTAACTCCATTGTCTGGACAAAGCTCCAGAATAGTGGGTGGACTATTACATTCCGTGAAGCGCAACCATACAACGTATATGCCGCTTGAAGTGCAATGGTATCGTTTTCACTAACGCTGTATACCTATTTAGGCCACCCATTGTCATTGTTCTTCCATTATTGGCTTCAATTTTCACAAGTAGCGAAATCAAAAGCATTGCTTGCTTGTATCCAAATAATGGGTGTGTTGAATGTTTAAACTTAAAAAGAATAATTACGTGAATAAAAACATGAGAATAGTTTTATCTACTGCATGGATATATTTTCAAAACATAAATATTATATAAACTAGACATGTATAATGTCAATATTGATATGTAGTTTTAAAAACATACCCATACATAGCAATAAAAAGGGAGATTTTTCACAAATCTCTGTTAGAACGCTAACCGAGAAAGTCATTTCTGACGACATACAGGCATACGGACTCCAAAATTTTTGCAACCATGAACAAAATCTTAATTGTATTCAAACACTTTTTGCCTGCGTTTACTCGTAGCTAATACGACCCAAAAGTGTTTGTGACATTAGTTCAGCTGGTCAGATAAATTCTTTGAATCGGGTGTAGTCTCTAAGCGTTAGGCCCGGGTAACATATGTAACAATAGAATCTGAAGCGAATGTACAAACTCAGGTAGAGAAATATTTTTTGTAAAGGTAAAGTCATTCTTTCATTCCAACCATTGAACGTCATGCCTTCTTTTGTTCTTATTTGGTTATTTAGTAATAATGTAAGTTTACTGTCAGATGAATGTTTTTGTTTATTCATAGATCTATAATCTATGTTGAAAATAAATTACTATTGGTAGAAAAAATGAAACGAATAAAGTTTACTCAATGAAATTGGCTTCACGTAGTATTAAAATCGTGTTTGAAGTTACATTTTCATCTCTTTACGGTTTTAAATAGAGGAAGGAAAGAATACCTTAATGAACCTAATTTAGTTTATTTGGGAACGAGCTTAAAATAATATGCAAGTACAATATAAAAGGAACGAGTTTTAAGCAGATATCAAGTTTGTCACAAACAACTGTACAATAGTGAATCCTAGCTGTGTTAATGGTGATAGGTTGTAATGTGACATCCGTGGCGGTGTGGCGCTGCGTTATCGTATGTCCTTGACACAGAGACGCGGCGTGCACAACGCGCCTTATTGTCACTGCAACCTTGCGAAAATTACCGCTTGCGATAACAGATGCCGTCGTCGTTGTCGGTGGCGCGTCTCTCGACCACGCGCTTACCAAAATATAGTAGTGAATGGAAACGTTACGTGCCCATGAATTTCAAAACATCGTTAATCTGAAATAGAATGCTAATGATGTTTGCTTCTGTATAAATAAAAATATTGTTGTGCGTATTCATAAGGTTTTATGCAACTTTGTGTGACGTTTAACAGAACTTGCACATAGTTTGAGGTTGAAAATTGGAGATTGGGCTAGTACTTTTCTACAACTGACATTACAGTGCAGTTGCAAGACGAATGTGGGTGGTATCCCGGTGTTGCGACTCTCGCCGACCGGAAACCCAATTCCCGGATGCGGCTGCGCGGGGGGATCTCGCCGGAAGCTTGGTAAACGAGCACATCCGCTGCCGCCGCCCGCGCCGCAAAATTTGGCACCGCGAGCGCTCGCAGCCCGCTTCCGGCCTCCGCCCCCCGGACCCCTAACGTCGCTCTCGCCCGCGAAAATAGCGGCCAACCGCTCCGTGTACGCGGTTCATTCAGTATGGCCGCCTTCCATTCATAAAAAGGCGAGGCGCGGGCGGCATGTTGCGCGGCGAAGGGAGGGCGGCCTCTCCCGCCGACCCGCACCCGCGGCCGACGCCAGTGCGGAATGTGCCATCGAACGGAACGGTCGTTTCGTCGGAGCGTAGCCCTAGCGCTCCCGGTTTTCCATTAAAATGTGTATAAGAATAAGTGCAGTGAATCCGCACGAGTTCGGAACGGTTACAAAAAACGCCGTCGTCGAGATTAGGAGTAGAAATCAACGAAGAACTTCAGCGAGGAAGTGAGTAGCGGCCATATTGCAGTGATAACCGCGCGGCGGGCGGACGAGAATCGAGGCCGGTGCGTGGGCCGCCCCCCGCCCGCGCCAGGTGCCGCTCCGGACCGCGCCGGTCTCATGAACCTTCCCGTGGATTTGCGCGGCCGAAATTCGGTGGTTCTGCCGTATTTTTGTGTGTCAGTGAATCTTTCGGCGCGGTTTCGGTGCGGTACGACCACTTGGTCGCTAGGCGACAAGTAGCCTCAGTGTTGTGTGTTGGGCGCTTGGCCCAAGTGCCCTTGTGTGTGGAGCGATGTGTGTAGGAGAAGTGTGACCGTGGAATGTCTGCTTCGTAAGTACATACGTTGTCCTGACGTGGGACTTCTCGCCCACCGAGCAAAATCGTCTATCGGACACGAAACTTGCGCCGGATACGACTAACTGCGTTTTGCATGTAGATCTAGTCTTGCGTAGGTAGTAATTACATGGATAGCGAAGAAATCAAGCTAACATGAATGACGAGAGGCGACGCCTCGCTTTGCCGCCTGGCGACCGGCACACGTGCAACGATCAGCGCTCATAGCGAGAACGTTCTCAACAAACGAGTTAATAATAATGCTTTCATTTATTGTATGATTCAAATCTATTTATACAGCGTTGTAATTTAAACTGAACAAAAAACACAATCCTAAAATACTTAAAACTACATGAAAGTAATATACGTGATGAGTTCTTCTTAGCAAAAAACTTACTCCAAAAATAGGTATTAAAGACGAATAACGCGATTAAATACGTACCAATAGTTATAATGAATGTATAACCGCATTATTATAGCAACAGAGGCCAATTTCGACAGAGAGTTGATAACTGAGGCAGATAAAGAATAAATTGTAAACAATGGTCACATAAACTGTTAATATCTTGTAACGAACTCTGTAGATAAGAAGAATATTTAGACAAAACAAAATAAGAATATTATTTGTAATATAACGGATAGTTGTATTTAAATCTTGTTAGATTATAGCCAAACTTGAGTTTTAGTACCTTTTAGTAGGAATACCATTTGAGAAGAGATAAGATGGAATCAACAAAAGGAAGGGCATAGTTGGTTACAAACTGTAAGAATATGAGTTGGCGGTAACGTTATACTATACGAATGTTGCTTAACATCTCGGTTTTCCTAAACCTGAGCATCATCGTATTTGTATTGACTTCAGTTATTGCATTAATTAACAAACGATAAACTGGCACAGCACCTTTCTATTTCACCACATGAAGGGAATGTTTATTCGTTTTGTTGAATTGGCAACAGAAACAACCATCAAGCATCTATGTAATATACATTTCATCAGGATATATTTTATTTCAAATATCCTGAAGACTTGCAACCATATTAGATATTACACGGTGACTGTTCTTCATGTATTCAGTCGTAAGTTGGTATTTTAGAGACTGGAACATGAGCAGACATCGAAAATTAAGGGCAATCCTTCACAGTCAAGTAATCCTTTAATGTTTGAACAGCGCTTCAAAACAGTTCCATTAAAATAAGATGTTAAAAGGCATACAAAACATCATTTAGTTTGGAATTCCTAGCTGTTTATTGCTAGCTACTTTATTTGCTTCTGTATGCAATAAGCTTCTTCACAAGAGCTAAAATGGATACTTTGTTCACGGGAACATCAGCAATCGACCTACCATTGAATGGACTTAAAGAAACATTCAAAGGAACACAACGAGCATCCAAGCAAATGTCAAATTACATAATTTACAACCAAAAATGTATGCTACGTACAGACGAAGTTTCAACTCTTAAGAGATAAAATTAAGATAACGCGACGACAGATAACTGCTTAACCAAATAAGAAAGCTATCAATTAATGACGTTTAACTGGCATACTAATTAAATTTACTTCAATAATTAAAAACAACATAAAGACTAATAGGAAAGCGCACCGGCTGTCTGGAATAACGAAGAAAATATAAAATTAGCTTAATGGATGTAATCTTGAATACATTTAAAAGCTAAGCAGGTTAAACCAGTAGTATTTGGTATCTGTCTACTATTTTCTTAAATAAGAGATAAAATATATTTAAATTCATATTAACTATTGACCTATGACTGAAATCGATAAGGTGAGAATAAAATAACGCTAAAATATTGTTGACATAAATCACCTTATGCCATTACTGCATTGAAAGATAAAACTGTAAAACGAAGAAATGAATACCTCCAGAAAAACTTTCCAAGGTACCATTCTCAAAGTAAAATAATCGTTAGAATGAGTGCCTTCTCTTCAGAAAGTTGGAGCCTATTCAACAAAGCGGCCCCACAAACATAAATTTGACTAAGTATTAAATTAAAAAATCAAGTAAAACCATGGCTATAAACGATGTATGTATAAAGTGTTTGTTGCGCTCCGAATTTAAATAAGAAGGTATCTACTACTATCTAATACGTGCCCTCAACCACTCCAATAAATAATTCCAAATGAGTAAGAAATGTGAAGGTATAGTACTTTTCTATTTAAACAAGAACACGTGAGTAAATCCGTGTTGATGAATAAACCTAAAAATAGTTTTCGCTTTTAATAGATTTATACAAATCAAAATCAAAGTTGCTCAAAAGATCACACACTACATTTGCAATCTTATGCCTTTGCAATTAATGCAATGTAATCTCAGCCATGCGGAATACTTTACAAAATATTCTATTATGTTTATAAATTATCATCAAACCGTGATTAATTATGCCACATAGTTCTTCGTAATAATTATTGTTTACATGCGGAAATTGATTAATAAATTATTTAAAACGCAGTTTCATAGTAATCTTAAACGCGACACCGACGAAATACAGACGAATAAGATGTATAAACTTACTTTTATTTGATTTAAGTAAGATTTGCGAAGCAAAGAGATGATGAATGTAAGTTGCAGTCACTGAACTGCAAGTTTCACAGATATTTAACGTAATGGATGCGGATGAGAGAATGTGACTGTCTAGTGATTTAATTAAGTAGTTTTATGTTTAGTGTCGTGATCATTCATTAAATGTGAATGTGTATTCGATTGGCAGGTGGGGACGATGAGGGAACAGGAAGGCGACGGCCCGGAGAGCCGTTAGCCGTACTCGATGGATGAGTATGGCGGGCCGGCGGCGCCGCCCCGGCCGCCAAAGCCGGCGGCGCGCGTCCACAGGCCGACGGGCGCGCGCCAGCCCACCGTGTCGTTGCTGCGGCCACGACCTGAGGCCGAGCGCGAGCGAAACGCCTACGTGGAGGCTCCACGGCGAGCTCACGCCGTGCCCGTGCCTCCCCATACGGCCGCGCATCAACCTCTCAAGCCGGTGACGACGCAGCCGGCCGCCGCGGCCGACAAGCGGCGCGCCGGCGCCCTCCCGGCCGATTCGATAGTGTGCGACACGTGCGGCCGCTGCCGCTGCGAGCAGTGCGCGCGCCCGCGCCCGCTGCCGTCCCGCTGGCTGTGCGGCTCGTGCCTGTGCAGCGCCGAGGCGTGCGTCGACTACGCGTCGTGCATGTGTTGCGTGAAAGCGCTGTTCTACCACTGCGGGAGCGGCGAGGAGGAAGCGGGCGAGCCGTGCGCGTGCGGGCCGCGGCTGGCGTGCGTGGGCGCGCTGGCGCTGCCGCTGCCGTGCCTGTGGCTGTACTGGCCGCTGCGCGGGTGCGCGGCGGCGGGCGCGGCGCTGTACGCGCGCTGCCGCCGCTCCGGCTGCCGCTGCCCCGAGCCCCCTCCGCGGCTCTCCAGTATTATCTAGTCCCGCCGCGCGCCGCCCGCGCCCTCCGAAGCGCCGAGTCGAGCGGCGCGACCGCGTTGTACAAATATTTATTTGCGAGCGGAGAGCTTCGGACCGCGCGGGGGTGGACTCAGTGATCGCTGTGCCTGGTGCGAGTGGTGTGTGGTGGCGCGGGGCCGGCGTCGGACGAGTGCCCCGCGCTCACTGAGTGAATCGTCTACGAGTACCTTGTAAATATAGTCGTATAGTGTGAATGTACGTGAACGTGTCGCCCGAACGTCGAAAGTCTCAAATTTTCTTGAGACCGTAACGTGTCATAAGAAAACGTTAACGTTAGTATTTTGGATTCCACAAAAATCCAGAGAAGATTAAGAAATGAGATATAAAACATACTTATTAAGATGTAGATAATTTACCATTTATTTATTAACTGAATTTGTATTTATTTGTAAATAAAACGACAACATTATATTATAAATACGAATGTTTACTACATTATGTTTGTTTTTTTCTGTTCCTTGATACCTGCTTGTATTGTACTGCAGTAAAATGTACATTCTAAACATACAATATCAATAATATAAAAAGAATTGTTTCTTACATAGACGGAGATGCAGAATCCACATTCATCAGCTACTCCAAACCACTCAAATAAACACAGAACTTACAAATATGTATAACTAGATATTTAACTTTATATCACCACTGTAACAAAAGTCTCCAACCTACTAAAGATTGTGAAGTGATCGTATTCTGGCCGACACAATAACTTCAGCAGTTTAATCACATTTTCTTAAAAACTGAAAAGCCATTTAGATAACTATAAATAAGCAGCTATACAACTACTGAGAATAATATAGTTTTTATAGACCACTGCTAAAAGAGAATGGTTGGAATGTTCTAATATGTCTCAAATTCTTGTCATAATTTCATGTTACAAAATAGCTAGTAATTGTATGTACTAAAATATTATGCTGATGTAACGGCAAATACATTAATATCAAGTATAATTTTGTATTCAGCGGTCTTTGCACATGCTATGTAATATTAAACTGTACGAGACTTGATCACTGGAGTCATTGGTCATCTCTAATAGAAATGGTCCAAAAAATAACAGCATTATTTGAGTATTTTAAGCGAGTAGAGCAATAAATAGCTTTTTGCCAAGTTTCAAGGAATAAAAAGCAATTCTAAATCTTACAACAAGGAGGCCCTATCTAACTTCACTACGACTTAATTATTCAATAATTAGGTACACCAAGGAATTCATTGGCACTGTCTAAGAAATACACACACTATTCAGGCTTTATCCAGGTAAAACAGATAGGAAATTGATTTGCAAAAAAACTTTTCAATTCAAAACAAAATCCAGTTTGAATTCTTCATGCATCGTTAGTGTCAATGTCAAATAATAGGGCACATCTTGTCTTTGGTCAAATAAAAACTATGGTTTAGTTTTAAACTGTCAAACACCAAGCGTTATAAAAAAAAAGTTGAAATTAAAAGGACTTGTTAAATTAAAGAATAACTGGTTACGTTAGTAGCATTAAATAAAAATTCTTTCCATGTAAGTTGAAGTAGGCGGTGTTCGTTTAGAAGGAAGTAGCGACGGCTCGACACGTCATCGGCGGCGGTGCGCCGCGTCTTGCCCGTTTCCTTTTACCATCACCATCCATCCGGGATGCTCGGAGCACGCCTCCTGTTACTCTCTTCCTTCTTCCCTCACGTACGCAGGCAATAAAATACTGTCATTCCCCTTTGGTAGCACGGACAGTGATGGCTTTACTTTGTGAATATTAATGATTTACGATTTCAAAGAATTGAACCAGTAGAGTTTCAAACGTCACATTGCACTGATAATGTAACTGAACCAACTTCTCCATATTAATCAGAGGCATATGATTTTTAAAAGTAATTGTAACATAATAAACATGATCATTAATATAGTAACTACTTATATCACTATGTTACTACTACTTTACTACACACTAATAGCTTCTATTACAATAATATTTTCCCCGCATGGCCTGAATTGTTCCCCGCTGCTAATTTAACACGTAACTAGTGCGTACGGCCACTGTTAGATCGTTTTAAATTGGAACAACAGATGTTGACAGGCTGTCGACAACGTCGTTTGATGGCCGGATGAGGCCTGGCGATGTGATTAAAGGATATTATTATTGGTTGAATATTGGATGTAATTGTAAAAGAAGTTTTAAGACGGTATTTTTGTTTATGGTTATTCTTATAACTGGTTATTATTTTGGTATTAAATGTGGGTTCATTTTAATGATCCACGAAGTACAAAATTATTCTGCTTAGGCATTTTTGTTTTACAGTAGGTATAAAATATTTTACTACATAAATATTAAAACTACATCTAGATGAACTATAGACATTTTACAAAAAAAGTAGCTTATAATGTCGAGCTGCGCCGGAGTCGGTCGGTTGACCTCTGCTACGGAGGAGATGGATCATCCGCGCCATTGTCAGGTTGATTTGTGACCACGGCTGCCATTTGTGGTACCTACATTCTAGTTTGATGTACAAAGTGTACAAGACTATCGTTATTTCACTGTCAAATCTCGCCAGTTATCGAGCGCATTCCTTGACCTGTGCCCTGAGATGCATCATACACTGCCACTTTGATTTCTTCGATGTTCGCTTTGTATACTTGTCTTGTAAGGCTCTTGTTCCTATCATAAGGTTCAGTAACATCAATTTCATTTGCGAATAATTTATTGCAGCCCTTACTTACTTTATGTAAGTACTTAACAGAACTCGTTCAACATTCTAGCAACTGGCTATACGTCAAGCTATTTATAAAGCAAGTTTATTAAAAATACGAGTGGTGTGCCTTCATAAGAATCCCTTATAAAGAATATAATGGACTGAACCTGACAGCTTTCGATCATTGGCTGAACATTCCGATCCAGTGACACACGCTATTGTGTTTTCTAACGTTAAAATATTCCTTATAAACGTCAGGTTTAGAAATTAACAATTGAAATGTATAGTCGTATACTCGTATGTGTGAGATTATCAAACAATGAAGAGTACGTACTTGTGCGAGTAACAACATCGATTATAATCAATTGCTTTTTTATAGGTAAGCGCTTGTATCATATCTGCCTATATAGGCATGAGAATACCAGTAATACTACTAATAGTCTTTGAATTTTTTAATATTTTAAACTAATAATTCATATATATTTTTTTGAGTCAACCGGTCGACAAATGCAATATTACATTTTTTACATTAATTTGAATTTTCCATCTTGATACGACAGTAAAGTACCAATCTAAGTACCCACATTACACAATTCAAAAAGTTTTTTTTAAATTAGCAGTTTATCATAGATTAGTAACTACCGACTTCAAAAAAAGGAGGAGGTACTATGTTCGGCTGTTATTGTATTTTTTTTTCAAAAATCTACAATGTGCAAGATGTCCGTATAAGTAAACCGTACCTACCCACAGTTAGTCAGTGAATGTGGGTATTGCATCCATCATCAAATTGCCTGGTACTCTATTTATTATTTACTTCTTGACCAACTAAATGAATATGAATATGGAGATATCAGGAAAAGGGGCATGAACATGATGTTTGGCGATAGTTAGTACGCATAATGCAGTGAGTCGGTCGCGAGCGTAGCAGATAATGTGGGCAGGTCATCGCGCAGGAAGTCGCGGCGCTTCAAACAGGCCACATTCTGCCCAACGAACAGATAACAACTGTTGGGTAATCGCTAACAACCGACAGTTGCTAACCTATCTCCACACAGAAATTAGACTACGGAAATTATAAGACAATTATAGACAGCAGTGTCATTTTTACGAGCGTCCGTCCCGCTGCGACGCTGTTGTATAAATTATGTCATGTAAAATTTATTAGACATCCAATTTTATTTTTCCTTGTTGACGAAGTTCGACGACTGCTACAAAGATAAGATTTGTACACACTGAACTATAGCAGCTCTTATGAATAAGACAATGCACGTTCGAGCTGAGAGTCGAGAGGTACTCCGTCATTCATAGTGGCCCCAACTATAAAATATTCTCTAATGATTTTATGAATTCGAAAGGACTTTATTCTTTTCCCATTTAAGATTCCTGACGTCAAGCGGGCACATAAACAGAGCCTGCTCAACGAAACCATAAATCGATTCATTCATATACGACGTTTCGCTTCATCAATCAATCGTCTATAAATAAAAGATGGAGACACGATGGAAGCGGCTTCCACTTCAAATTCTGACGTCAGCTACAATGGGTGAGATGTTTTTTATCGTCATATAAAAATATTATATCTACCTGCTGCCATAATTTATAAAAAAAAACATAAATACAGTCGTAATTTACCCGACGCTGCTGGTTGCTTTGCTGCTCTTGGGAAACAATTATTCAAGTTTTAAAATTGTCGTTGCCTACACATATCAAACCTCATTAAAAATCTTAAGGCATTATGAAATAATTAGTAAAACTATTCAAGTAATAGACTGTTCAATCTGTAGTCACAAAGCATTATTGAAGTAGATGAATTCAGAGTCACGCTATAGTTAACGTAAATAACAATAGACGAGATGAGGTAATACTAATTTAAGTTTTATATCTCAATTTCAATTAATCCATGCCAACAATACAACAAAAACAATTTCTTAACGCATGGTTCATGAGTTAGACAGTAGCCAAGCTGTACCTGCAAATAATGTGTCCAACTTACCATAGCCTATCATCGTTTTGTGTATCCAAATTTCAAATTAATTCAAAATGTATATTTGGTATTAAGTAAGTGATATCATAGAATAGATGAGTCATCAATTTCACTTTCACAGTTATTACCTACCTATCACAATTGTTATTAGCGTGAGTGGGCAGCTGAGTCGCATCGACGCCATTCATTTTATCATGTCCGACAAACGTGTCGTTTTATAAACACAAAACAACTATAAATGATCTTTAATATTCTCGAAATACTTTCATTACGTAGATACTTAATTATAAGATGTATGAGATGGGATGTTTTAAACAGAAAATGTTTAACTCTTGTGCTGTGTAAACATGTTAGAATTTAGTCACATCTAAGACAAAAATATTTTGTCAGTCAATGAACGAAAACTGTGATAAAATGTGTAAAATTTTACGACAGATTTTGTTACTTATCTTGAATTTAGTGACAAGTGAAGAATAATTAAATGTGGAGCACGAGACGAGACTAAAAAAATATGTGTATATATGTTGTCTGTACTTGGTTTAATATTAAGTTTTTCGTGTCGCCGCACAGCTAGTGGGTAGCGAGTTATCATGTGCAAGAGTCGGACGATATCTCGTAGGTACAAATTGGCGACGTTGCAAACTACG